AGGAAGAAAGAGTAACTAATTCTACACAAACTCTTCCAGAAAATAGTGGAGATGGAAGAACACTTCCAACTCATTTCATGGGGCTAGTATTCCCCGACACTCAAACCAGAACAAGAGAAGAAAACCACATATCAGTAATTCTCGTGAACATAGATTTGGAGGTCTCCTTAACAAAATTTTAGCGAGTTGAATCCCAGAATATATAAAAAAAGGATGATCAAAAGAAAATGGAAGGCCCCAAGTTCAATCCCCAATACAAAAAAAAAAAAGAAAGAAAAGAAAAGAAAATGGGCTTCTCCTGAATGCAAGTTTGGTTTAAAATTCAAAAACAAAAATGAATTAATTCACCACCTTCATGGAAAAAAAAAAAGAAAATCATTTTTTCAACTTTGTAGACACAGAAAAAGCATTTGAAAAAACAAAACATATTCATGTTAAAAATTCTCAAGAAAAACTAGAAATAAAAGGGGAACATCTTCAACTTGGTAAAAGCTATCTACAAAAACCTGCAATCAACATCAAACTCAATGGTGAGAGATTAAATGAGTTCCCCTGAGACTGAGGATAAGACAAGGATGTCTTTCCAGCCTTGCATTGGTGGTCCTAGTGTTTGCTGTAAAGGAAGACAACAAAATGCAGGATGTTACTAAGCAAACACTTTAACCTGGCCCAATAGGAGTTCTGGCCTTTACTCTCAGCTTCTGGGGCAGAATCTCTAAGCTTTCTGAATTTTATGTCTGCTAGGAGTGGGTGCGTTTGCCTGAAGCCTTGAGTCACACGGGATTTTCTTGCAGTGTGAATTAGGGTGGGTGTAGTCCACACCAGAAAGACCAGTGATGCGATTTCAGATGGGAGCTTTAATTATAGCATATCAATCAGCTTGGAGACTCAGACCAATTAATTGGCCAGGCCACTAGTTGTACCTATACAATAGAGCCCTAATGAAAACTGTGACACTGAGGCCGGGGGAACATCCTTGGTTGGTGATATTCCATGCATGTGGCCACCCGTCAATACCAGGAAAAAGTAATGAATCCTAGGTCCACAGGTGAGGACCATGGAAGCTTTGTGTTTGGTACTTCTCTAGATCCCACCAATGTTCTCTTCGGTGGTTTTCATTTTAACTGTTTAATTGTAATAACCTAACTGTGAATATGATAGCTCTCAGTGAGTTCTGCAAGTCCTCCTCATGAATTTTTAAACCTAAGGGTAATTGTGGGAACCACCCAAACCTGCAGTTGGTGCCAGAAGTGGGGGTGTTCTCTTGTGAGGTCTCTTTTCTCTAAAAGACATTGGCCAAATAGATGTTTGAACATGCAGATGGGAAAGTACAAAGTAAAAGTGTCACTATTAATAGAGAATAGGATAAGTGTAGAGAAAATCCGAGAAAATCAGCGAACAAAAATGGTAGTACTACTTAGAAATGTGTCTTTCAAAATAACAGGACATACTTCTCCATTTCAACATTTAGGATGCATGGAGACCAGTAAGTCTTTGGATATATGTGGATCAATAGGGCAGAACATAAGATCAAATAGACCCTCACATATGAAGTGATTTTCAACAAAGGTTCTGAAGCAATTTAATGGGAAGGAGAAGGATGATCTTTTCAACAAAATGGCCCAGGAACATTTATGAAGTAAATATTCATAAGTAAAAAATGAATCTTGGACCTTGCCTCTGACCAGATACAAAAATTAACATAAAATTAATCATAGACCTATAAAATAATAAACATAATAACATAATGAACATAACATAAAATTATAAAACTTCTAGTACAACACATAGAAGATAATTTTCATGACTTTGGAAAGGTAAGTATTTCTTACCTGAGACACCAAGAACCAAACCACAAAAAGCTGACCATTGAATTTAATCACAGTGTTAGGCTTTTGCTCTTTGAACAGCACAGCTAAGAAAATGTAAAGCCATATCTTAGGTCTGGAGGAAATAGTTACAAGATGCATAAATGAAAAGCAATGTATCCAGAATAGCTAAAGAAATTGTACAACTCAGTAATAAGAAGATGAACAACCCAGTGAATAAATGGATAGATGACAGAAAGAGATACTTCAACAAAAAGAGACTCTGATGATAAATAAGCCTTGAAAGGAAACTCAACATAACTGGGCACTAAGCAAATGGAATAAAATTTCAGTGAGATACATGACACTCTTATTAAAATGCTTAATACAGATCCAAGGTGCATGCTGGCCAGAACGCAGCACAAGTGAACTCTCACACAATTGCTAGAAGGTATGCAAAAGAGGAGTGTTACAGCCCCTCCAAAACCAGTTGGGCACTTAATTCAGCAATTCCCTGTGCGAAAACAAATGCTCCAACAAAGAGCTGGGTGTGAATACTGTCACAGAAGCTTTATTCTTACTAGCCCCCAACTGCTGACAACCTATATGATCACTAACTGGTGAATGAATGCATAATTCCTTGGACACCAACTCAGTGGAATACTTCTCAGCCTTAAAGAAACAGACTGGAAACATTCAAGAATGTGGATGTTTCTCCAAGATTCATTATAGTAAGTGGAAGAAGCCAGATTCATTCTTTATGAGTCTATGTATGTGACATTCTGAAGCAGGTAAAAATATAGTGACAGAAAATAGATCGTGGTTTCCAGGGTCTAGGGGTGGGAGAGGGTTTGACTACAAAGGAACCACTTGGGATGATGGAAAAGTGCTGTGTTTAATTTCTTGTGATGTTGTAACTCCTCAAACTGGACTCTCAGAAGAGTGAATTTTACTTCATGGAGTTTATATATCAATACACTTGCTTTGAAAAAGAAATCCCACAGAACCCAAAGATACTTGTATGTCTAACTGATAGTTTAGTGTCTAAATTCTTGAATACAAATGATTTCTTATGCACTAACAGGAAAAAGTCAATCCTCTTAGGAGAAATATGTGTAAAAAATTAACAAGAACCTTCCCGAACAGAAAGAATAAAGAGTCACAATATAAACTTCAAAAGCATCTCAATTTCACTTAGAAATTAGAGAACTACACATTAATCTTCACTTGCATACTATTTCTTAACTATCAGACATGCTTAAAATTAAAAACGAGATGATTGTAAGAGTTAGTTGATAATGCAAAGGAAAGGAAACTTTCATCCACTTCTTGTGGGAGTGTAATTTGCTGTAACTATTTTGAAAAATATTTTGGCATTATTTAGTAAAGTTAAATGGTGTAAACACTTTGATGCGGAAACTCCACTTCTTGACATGCCCTCTGCTGACATTCTTCCACATACATAGCAGAAAACATGTATGAAAAATGCTGCAAAAATGAAAAAAGAAAAGTCCCAAATTTTCATCAAAAGTGGAATGGATGAATTATGGTACAGTATATTTTTACAGTACAATGCTGTTGTGGAAAGAAGGTGAATGAGCAACAAGTACACGCAGTAAAAGGAGTGAATCGCAAGAATTCATTTGAATGGGAAAAGTCACAGAAGTGTACATAAATATGTTCTCCTGTACATAAATTTTAAAACCCTCTGTTTCTGTAGGCAGGATAGCATGGTCATTTTTGAGCATGAGCTTCAGAGCCCGGTTGCCTGCACTTACATCCTGGCTTTCTATTTTCTACCTGTGTAATCTTCAACTTGTGCCACAATTCCCTCACTTTCACATTTAGAAAGCCAACTGATGAGTGGATAAAGAAAATGTGGTATTTACACACGATGGAGCACTACTCTGCCATAAAAAAGGATAAACTTGAGTCATTTGTAGGAATATGGACGCATCTTGAGATCATGTTAAGTGGAATAAATCAGATACACAAGCTTGAACATTGCATTTTTTCTCTTACATGAGAAACCAAAAATATAAATAGAGTGCAAAATAAAACATAGATATTAGGAAATGGGGTAACAGATATTTTGCAAAGGGGAAAAAGACCAAGGGATAGAGGGAGATAGGAGGAGAGAAGGGGATGAAAAAAGAATTACGATGTGTCAAGTACACGTGCCAACTCCTCATGAGGAATGTAATCATTATGCACTGCAAACAAGGGCTAATGAAAAGTTAAAAAATTTTAAAAGGGTGCTTAGCACAGCTTGTGAGGGAAAAAAAATGTGCTGACATGGGGTAGCACATAGAAGGCTAGGTAAATACTAGGTAGCATTATCATTCTGCAGTCCACTAGGGAGAGCCTCAGCAGTATCTAGGCAGAGGGACAGGCCCTCTGTGACAGCCTCAGGACAGCACTAAGAGGACCCACAGGGACTGTGCAAACTCCACAGCTGTCCCTGTAGAGGAATGCCAACCACGCAGGACCACAGGACCTGTAGAAAAGGAAGCAAGCCAGGATTCTAGAATCCTGGGGACAACCTGGCCCAAAATGCCTGTTGACAGTTTTAGTCAAGTCGGTGATTTTTCTAAAGACAGGAAAATTACAGTAACAAAATTAATGAAGGTAAGGATGCTTGCAGTCCCTTTCTGACTTCCTTTCCCCCAGGTGCAGATTTTTCAGCTGATGATGATTCTGAGCCTTTTCCTTGAGCACTTTCCTCCTGTCTCTCAAGTGAGAGACCAAAGAGAAAAGATAAGGAATGTAGAGCCCATACATCCTTCCATCTAAGAGCTGTTTATTAAACCCAAGATACAGTACAGTGAAACTAAATGATCATTATGCTAAAATAATTATTGGAAAAGTGAGGTTTTTTTCAGGCACTCACACATTTGTCGATTTTAGTAGCTTCTCATCTATTGGCTTTGACAGTTTGATTGCTGACCCGGCAGTTTGGGGAATTAAGTGATCTCTTGTTTTGATATCCTTAGAGCTAATTAATACACAGGGTTTACTATATTTTCTGTTAGAAGCTGGGATGTATAGAAAAGAATAAAAACTGATAACCAGAAAGAACTGTGATCTCTCCTGCCTTAGGAATACTCTGTATAGTTTTTACTAGTATTCCGTAAGGATTTATGTGCAGAGAACCATGGTTATACTATTGAAAAGCCTTGTTTTATTACTTACCCTCTTATTTCTACTTGAGCAACAGCAGTGACGTTGATTTGCAGACTCACAAAATTGCTATCCGAATGGTCCTTATTGGAACTAAAACACAACGACACATAATTTCAATGTATTTTCTCAGATGTGTTGCACACTACAATCATGAAAACATTCCATATAGTGCAATCAAAGCACACTCATAATCTGGTAGTTTGGAAAACAATGGCATATTCATACAAGGAAATGTTAGGATCCTTTATGATCAGCAGTAATGAAACAACTTCCTATCAGGAGATCCTTTATCTGGAAATACAATTGATTTCTGGAGATGCTAACACTTTTTAATTTCAATGGCTAAACCAAAAAGGCAATGAACTGAGTTCGTTTGCCAGCTTGTACCAAGAACAAATTCCTGAACATCTCTGCATACCATCTTCATGGCCCATCAGATGGGGGCTGACGGCACAGTCAACGCCTGATTTTCCACGCTAATAAAGAGGAGACTGGGCATGAATAATCCAGAACAGCACATAATCAAAAAAGCATTTGCATTTGGCTCTAGAAGGCATCATACCATACATTGATTTGGCAGCAATTTTATCTCCCTTATGGTTTATTTCTTAAGTTAATATTAAAATAAGAGTACATTCACTGCATCCACACTGGCTGACTATGGAGTGGGGTGTGAATTAGAAACAAGACCCAAGGAGGCTGGATGGTACATCTACAGGCAATCCGAGATGACATGGGTGTTTATGAAATAAAGAGTCTTAATATGAAAGGTGTATATTCAATACTACTTATTTAAACAGTGGCAAAATTATTTTCAGTTTGGTATTTCATTCCCTGGAGCAAATATAATTAGATACAAAACTTAATTTTAAAAAATGCATGTGTTAGGCAGTCAGTGCTATAAGGAAAATAAATTATATCTCCCAAGTGGTTCAAGTAATGACTGAGTCCTGGAAGCAGGTGCACTGTATCCACATTTTTTGTCCCTGTGTGCATTCCGCAGAGTCATCCACAGGATCAAGCAGTGTTTAACAAACAAGCACGTGGCCATATCGCCACTTACAGAGCTTGTTTATCTTCAGGTCTCCTTACGAGAAGAAAGCCTTCTCAGTTTGACATTAAACCTTGCTTGGATTCGATGGATAAGCTCCAGTATTGTGATGCTGCAAATGGGGCAGCTTCACACTAGATTTTTAAACTTTCCAAATATGAGGGCTGGAAAGGATCTGATCAAATTCTGCTTTCAAAGGAGGAAGAGGCAGAATTGTTCCCACAATGCTTTAGAAAACCCCTCATTAATTGGATATACTGATAAGGCAACTTAAATTGCAAACACATAGGAAAGATATAAACAGGCAAAAGTCGGGCTCATTTCCTGTCATGGAGTACGAATCACTGGTGAGCTTGTGACATGGTCTTCCGAGGGATCTGTACACCAAAGTTTGAACCCCAGATTCAAGGCCATTTCATTTTCTTCATTTCTTTTAATGGCATGATTCAAAATTCCAAACACTGATAAATCATTCCACTTGTTACAGACCTAATGGTGCCAACTATATTACAAGTAATTCTCTAGTTTGGAAATTTAGATCTAGTTGTTTGGCAGATTGGCCTAATTTTGTTTTATTTCCAGCTCACTACCACTTTGCAGCAATGCAGGCTAGAATTATGAAGAGGTTTTATTGAAGCCATTTGGATATTGATTCTAATGCCTGTTCTTCACAAATGGTAACACAATTTCCATTACTCACAACAGACTGAAAAAGTAAATAGATGTCAGACACTGGAGTCATCTTTGAGCCTGAGTTTTACATGAGGCTAGTAGAGGGAGCATTACTGAAATGCAGTAAGAGCAATGGTGGACTTGGAGTCTAGACTTTCTGGCTGGCTAATTAGAATTAGCCCCTGTCATATAGATGTGTCAAGACACTCGCTACTGCCTGCTAGTACTGTCAACAAAATGTTCATTATGACGTACAACTTAGAAGCTTTTTTGACCTCTTTCCTGGAAGGAAACCTCCCTTGCTAACGTCACTGCTCCATTCAAACGAGTCACCCATCACTGCCAGGGAGGCTGAGCTATTTATGCTGCTGGTGCTTGCGCTCCACAAGCAACAGTGAATTTCCTCTACTGCACCCTATGTCGTACATGATGGATAGACATGTTTTTCACCTTACTACTCCAAGGCCCTTTGCTTTTCCCTATTGTTTTCTATTTCCTCAATTGCTTTTGTTTTCTGTGGTCATTGGAAAGTCAGCGAAGACAATACCCGTTTCAGCATCGCTGAGGAAGTGACTTTATGGTGATTTTCCAAGCCTGTGTGGATGTGGGAAATGCAGTGCGAGACCTGCTTCCTCAGGGAGGAAAATGTTTATGTCAAACAGAGCGAGGGCATGGAAAGAGCATTTCGTGCTAATATTTGGTAACAGGAAATTTTTTTAATTTATTAATTAATAAAGCCCATTTTGTTTTTGGCTTCTATTTATGGAAAAGGGGACTAAATGTGGGAAATGGCAATCAATATATAGTTGTAAGGGTTTAGACTTCAGAGCACTTGGTTTACTTTGTTTTTTTATTTGAACACATTTAAACTGAATCTAAAACTACCCATCTACATCCTTATTAGCACCTTTGAAGGCTGCTAGCAAAGCATACAGATAAGTGCTCACCTCCCAAACATCTTAGTATTTGAGTTTTAAAAGTATTCTCAAATACTTTTATCTCTATAATGTATGTTTTGAGAATTTCATGTTTTAATTGTGTTCCAGTTCCTTCTGTATTTTTATAGTTTTAGGATAATGTTAAATAGTCATGAGTAAAATAGAATAGAATCATGACCAAATTTTAGATGAAGGTGAATGTTAAAAGTGCAGTTACTTCTGTTTTCCATCAAATTCAGCACTTTGTTACTAATTCATTATTCTAAATGTTGCTCTACAGGACGGATGTGGAGATGGAATTTAGAACATTATCTAGTGTCTTGTTGACTGAGTGAACTGCTATTTGCATCTTTTGTGTTATTTATAATTTATTTACAGTGAAGAGAAAAAATAAAATACTGATGAATCTGCATAGCATCTTTGTACCAGACTTTCTTTCTAAAAAAGGTCATGAGGGGCTGGGGATTTAGCTCAGTGGTTCCGCTGCCTGCCCCGCAAGCGCAAGGTCCCGAGTTTGATCCCTGGTACCAAAAAAACCAACCAACCAAACAAACAAAAAAACCCCCAAACAAATAAAAAAGGTCATTCATGTTACGAGCGATGTTATTCTCCTCCTCTAAGTGTCCCAAAGCTTCCTGCCACTACAGAATCTGTGGGCCAGATAACAATGCAGAGAAATAGAAGCTTCAGACTGCTGTGAGGGGTCACAAGGGTGCTTCCCTATGGCCTTTCACCCACGTCAACTTAGTAATACAAACGTATGATTTCCAACATGAAAATAGTTAGGACAAGGTGAGCTTTGGGGGAAATACATATTTCTGTAGACACAATGAACTAATTTAATCATCTTTTGATAAAGAGAGATTGTGGGAGAATCCATTCTGTCTGCATCTCAATGCTAATTTGGATAAAGTAAAAATGTTTTAGAATCCAACAGAAATTATTTAAGTTAAATTTAAGAGAAAGAAAAATTGGTAAGGTCAGGAAATGGTGCCTACGCCAAGTTGGAAAGTCTTCCTCTCTAGAAAGCTGGGGAAGAGGTAGATTGTGACACAGATTACAGATTTTTATAATTTGCTACATTCTTATGACTTAATGTATTCTAAAAAAATCTGAGAATTTTCATGGATGTAGCTATGAAAAGGTAATATGGTGCACAGAGTAATTATTCTAAAAGTTATCACAGTGTGATAACTTAATATCTTGCAAGTGTTAAGATAAATTTAGAGATTAGCAATGTTACATGAGTATTGGCAAACCCAGTTGAAGATACTGGCATTACCATCTTTTCTGTAGTTAGAGCAAGAGGTCAAATAACTGGGTAAAGTACAAATAATGATGGAAGGTTTGCATGTGCTTTCTATATCAGTGCTTTGCAGACTTTTAAAATTGGAGGCTGCAAAAAATATATCCATGTCTCAGGACATCTTGCCAACACATTTACATCTTCCTGAATGGAACATTTCATGAGCAGTTGTAAATTATATTCCATTCGATTTCCTTTCTTTTTACATGGGTCTAGAGCCATTAGATAGATTCAATTAGGAGATAATGGGTTGAAGCTCATAGCTTGAAAGCTCTGGCCAGCATTCCCCATTGCTCTGTGGGTTTTCCTGCTCAGAAAAAGTTAGTTGTGACTATGAAGGACCAAAAATAGTAAACAGAGAATGGATAAAGTCACAGTTGAATTCTGGAATGAGGTCATCCTTAGAAAAAGGAGGCAGTGACCTACAAGCTCAGTTTATTGTTGTTAGATCATTGTTTTACCCTCAAAATACAGTATGTCACCTGCATCCTGCCCTGCTGCTCCCACATAACCCTAAGAGACGCATTCATTCTTGAAAATTTAGGAGACTTCAAGATTTCACGTGCACAATTGATGCTTTTTGCAGGATTTGTTCTATCTCATAAGTTGGTCTATATAACATAATCTCTTTTCAAACACCTAAAATATTCAAAAACATGAAATAATTGAGAAAAATCAAAGGATAACTAGGCCATAAAAGTCTACTTCTAATTTCAGAATAACTTTAAAGGTGAAAAGCTTGGCAAGAAGTCTGTCTTTCACCACCAGTCTCTACATGTTTACATGCTGTCTGTAACACAGGCATGAAAATGTCTAACCTTCTGATTTGGAGATCGAAGTTAATGCTCATGTTTGTTTTCTCCAGATGTGGAACTGCAAATCGGAGGCCCATAGAATACTGGAAACAACAATAAAATGCACAGGATACAAAGTTATTACAAAGGAGGGACCTTATATACAGCATGAAAATTGTTCCTGAGTAATCCCTCAAAAACCCTACCCCGTATCTCGGTAATGTTGTCTTATCTGTTTCTGCACTCAGTAGCTGGGAGAAGAGAGGAAGGTATGCAATGTATGCCCGGAAGATTTAGGTCAACAGGCAGAAATGAAGTCTACTTTATAGTAATGCAATTTCCGAGTAGGGTAAAATGAAGACCTATTACCTGAAGAAACACAATGAAAAGATGGGAAATTACAGTGAGATAGGAAGCACACATTAACTTATAATGTGTCATACATAAAACTATAACTTGTACAGTGGCTGAAACATAGTGTATGCTAAAAAATACTTGCTAGATGAATTAATGGTGTTGAGAGTACTTGGACAAGAAAAGTAGTTGTATGACAAAGGACAGATCGATTGAGTTTGTCAAGTGACCTGGACTCCCCTTCTTTAGTCCCTCTCACTTCATGGCCCTTGGTTTCTTTACATAGGGAAAGAGTTTAGATCATCCAAAGCTCAGTTCTCTAATAGTGATCCAAACCAAGTGCTCCACATACTTTGTTATAATATGTTTTGCTAACAACTGAACACATAAATATGCATTCCATATATAACTTTCAATAGAAAACTGTTAATTATGAAAGTGTATACCAATCAACTCTCCATATAAAGAAATACACTGCATCCTATACAATTATGATGCATAAAGTTAAGTATCTGGTGGGTAAATATTGGTAACTTTATGACCTATGCTTATCTATATTTTATGAACTAAGAAATAAATTTTGTGTTTATAAAAAAAAGATCCAGGTCACTACACATTTTGGTTCCCTTTACCCATTTAGCCCTGTACCCCCTCTTTTTCTGCCATCTCTCTTTTGCACTAATTGTACCAGTTTAAGAGAGGAGACTGATTTGTGAGTCTATAATGTTTCTGTTTGATGGACATTTATGTAGCTTTTGAAATTATAGCTGTGTATTCCTATTAATGCAATAATGTGGATGATGCTTCTAGTATAATGATCAGAGAAGAATACAGGTTTTAAATTTCTTTGTGCAATGTGTATCTGCTGCGATTTGAAAAGTTTATACATGAGAAAACTACTATATAACAGCAGAGACATACTATAAAGAACTATTTCAAAATAATACGTTAGGGTAGGGTTATAGCTGTATAGGTTATTTTTTTCCTCCTTTATTTCCCAAATTTGAAAAGCTGCTCTTATTTTTATAATTTGAAAATGGATTAAAAATGGGGAGAAGTAAATGCAATGATAGTATCAGGAAGGAAGTAAAATAGTAGCTAACATGTATACAAAATTATGTTACTTACTGTCCCGAGCATTGTACAATGCCTTACGTGCCTTATCTCATGTAATCAGGACAACCCTGTGAGGTAGGTACCGATACTGTTGACATTTTACAATTTGGTGGCAATCTGAGGATTAGAGATTAAGAGCCTTGCTCCAGGTGCAGAGCAAATAAACTATAGAACTGGAATTTAATTCCTTGCAAGCTGATTCCAGAATCTATATTCACAGGACTACAGCTTGAGAAGCAAATCAGTAATAAAAACTCATGTGAAAAACAATCAGTAATAATAATGCAGTAATAGAAAATCCTCCTTTTTATCATAGATTATCCCCCAGGTGCGACAGACCCTCACTGTCCTAGAAGCTGTACTTATGTCATAGCATTGTGCTGTTCCCCACTTTCCTACAAGAAGGTGTTTTCCATTTCATTGTGACTACTAAGCTATCACAGCTGATAAATGGCAGAGCTGCTATTTGAACCCACAGGTGCCTTGATTACAAAACATCCATCCCCTTGGCCCCAAGAATGAGGAAATTCTTTATAATTCCAAACATGCAATTTTCCTTCAGGCCTCCTTTGCACATAATCTCCTCTCTTCTTTGGGAGATTTTTAGTATTTGTTTATTTGTTTGTTTTTTCTCCTGTGTTTTCTATTTGGAAAATTACTCAGACTTCAAATGTCTTGCAATGAATTTTCTGATGCCAGCTGTTTTCCTTTCTATTCTGTCTCTTTCTTTACTACCACTCTCTGGTCACTTAATTCACAATATGCTTATTTTGGATTTTTTACTGAATGAGTATTGTGTTTTCAGATTTATATTTTCAGACTAGTTTATTAGTAGGCACAGTGAAAGGGCTGAAGAGCCATTGTTGAACAAATGAGGGTGTTTGGGTCTTGACTGCACACATCCCATTCTGGGACTCTTACTGGACTGAGATGCAGGCTGCCTAACACTGGCTTTCATCGCAGAACAATGCACAGGATGAAGACACAAGAAGGCGTGTCGATGTCCTATTGTTAGGAGGTACGTGTACTCTTAACTCATACCCAACACTGGATCTCTGGACATTGATTCTAAAAAGGATTTTTTTTTAATTCTTGCTGAGAAAATTTGCAAGTTGTTATGATTTTTATATTACTATAGTTACTATATAAAAATGACTTCACTATTTAAAAATCAGAAGTAAAACTTCTGAATGCTGTCTAGGATATTTTGTTATGTTAAAATTAAAAATCACTTGAAAATGATTTCTTAAAAAATATTGGGACTCAAATATTTCTGGTCATTTACGATCCTTTTTTAATATATAGGACTTCGTTTCCATTTGGAATTTTAATACAATGCACTGAGAGTCTTTATAAAGTACACAGAGAAGAAGTAAATAAATCAAAGTTTAATAACAAAACAGAATGCAATAAAATTTGATGTGTTTAAGGGCATTAAAGAGAAGATAAGAAAGCCCTTAGTTTTGTTCTACTATAGACCTCAGAGATAAGTGAATATAAACAATTTGGTTCCCTACTTCTAAAGATTATTTGCTGATAAAATGGATTGTCATCCCTTCACATAAACACATTCATGGTTAAGACCACACTGTCACTTTTATACTTCTCTTTGAATGACATGGGTGGCCAGATTTTGTTCCAAGGTTATTCTCAGTTATTGATGTTCTTAGACAATCTCTGATCTAGATTTAACAGGCGTTTTATTGCTGGAGAAGGAAGGAATGACCACATCAACAGATGCTAACCCTATTGTCATCCTGGCAATTCCTATCTATCTGCCCTTAGGTAAACCTCTCATATCAAATTGGGTAGTGGACTTTCTTTCTGAAAACTAGCAAAAAGATTTACTAACTTCTAAACACAAGGATTATAATGAAAAATGTTCTCACATCTCAGTTTAGACGTCACATTCTGCCTCTCATGTCCTTAGTTAATTAACTAATTAATTTGCAGTACTTGGATTGAACCCAAGGCCTTCACACTGAGCTATATCCCTTTCTGATTTCTTAATTTTGAAGCAGGAAATCATTAAACCATTAAATTTCCCCAGTGTGGCTTGAACTTGCAAGCCTCTTGGCCTTAGCCTCTCAGAGTCCTGGGATTATAGTTGGGGGCACCACATTTGGCATGTTTTTTTTTTTTTTTCTTTAAGTTTCCTCTATTATCCATTAGTTTTTATCCAAATACTTTCCACAGTTTTGTAGACCAAACAGGACATGGGCTTTGTGGTCAGGCATGGTCTGAGACCAGATTCTATCTTTCATCATCTGTGTGACTTTGATCCATTTGATTTTTTCAGGCCTTGGTCTCCTCATCCATAAAGCAGAGAAAATACTTGACACATAGGGTTGTTTTAAAAATTCAGTGTAACATAAAAAGTAACCCCCTTCACTTGTGAGAAGTTTATAACAGGATAATCAATATTAATGTGTTGTAAGAATTTACCTTTTATATAAATATTTTTGACCAAAGAAGTTTACACTTGGCACATTTTTTAAATACCCAAGGCTACTCCAATACTATAGCATAAAAGAACAAAAGTATTATTCTAGCATAATATCTTGATGCATAAATTAGGTGGTATTTGAAAGTTTCAAATGCTTAGGCAAATGTGTGAAGAACTGAGCTAAGAGATTTGTCTACTAGAAGATTATTCTCACCTGCACAGTGGACGTGAGTACCTGCCTTCCTCAGGGAAGGAAGGAATTCAGCAGTGACCCCAGAGTTCCTCTTAAAGGATGGCCAAGGGACAATAATTCTTTGTAACCTATTGAGAAGTTGTCCCAATACAAATTTATGCAATTAGAACCTTTCCCCAATTTTTTTTCAAGCAGGTCATTTCACTGGAAAAGATAAATATCTAAATTTTAAATAGAAGAGTCTGTCAGGTTCAATTTATGCAAGTTTTCAGTATGTAGCATTTTCATATTTCAGAATTATTTCTGACTTATGACTTCATAAAATTCTTGACACTATGATTTTGATTATAAGGAGGAACCCTATGTGTACTTAAACTGTGATTGCATAAAATAAATTTATTGTCCACAAGTAATCGTGAGTAGAAAGTTTCTAATCCTGGAAACAGAAAGAATATAGAAAAGGAGGAAGAGGAGGAAAACAATTTTCAGTTTTTCACAAGCATGTTGGACACTATTATAAATTTTTTCCCTTGCTACAAAACAATTTTCTGTACTGACTCAAGACTGGAGTGTGGTGGTGTTTTATGAAAATACTGGGAAGGTTATTCATATAAGAGGGAAAATGGAAATAAGTGATTTTTCTCTGCTAAAATCATTTTTAATTAGCTTATTTTAAGGTGTTTTTTTTTTTTGCTTGCATTCTATTTCTTTTTTCATTCAAAGAAATCTGTGGTAAAAGTCAAAGAAAAATATTCAGAGAAAATGACTCTATTTAAAAAAGTAAGTCTTCATAGCTTTGTTAGAACTAAAAGTCCCCAAAAATGTAAGGTCTAAAGAGCATGCATATAAAAGTATACATCTTTTTGTGTTTTTAATTTGTGATTATGACTGTGTAGGTTAAATGCTCAGTCCCACTACCCCAGTGATTTCCTGCCTAATTTATTTTAGCTGCTGCATGTTGAGTTTGCTGAGTGCTAATTGAGGAGCTTTGCACTCATTCTCTGTAAAATTCAGTTAGACAGAAATCAGTGCTGCCTGCTTCTCTTACATTTGTTGCAGCCACCATAGGGTTCCCGAGGTCACACACCACCATCCTGGTCACATTCTCCATTTTGTACTCACAGCTCAGGGGCCGAAATCCCTGCAATGGGAAAGAACACTAGCATGAGGTCAGGGGGCAGGATAAATTACTACATCCTGTCACAAAGCCAGGCTGGGGGCCCGGCAGCTCCCCTTGATTTCAAACACCTGTGCGGGGAACTGTGCACAAAAACTACTCCGTGACCATTGCTTCAGAAGAGAAACCTGAGAGAAAAATGTAGAAATTTAGGAAGAAGGATGTTGAGTGATAAACACATAGTTTTCATGGAAGAAAATAATGCTTAAACAGTGTTTGTATGAATATTTTGAACATAATTTTTAATGTTAATGTTAAATTCAGGGCATGAAGATCACAAATTAACAGGAGTAAACAGGCTTATTCCTTAGGTTATGAAAATAAAATGACAGCAATATGTATAGATTATCATAAGACTCAACACTTGCAAGAGAATTGCTTAGGACACAAATTTCTTGTATATGGTCTCATTTTGAGATTTTATAATCTACTTTGTTTCATCTTCCAAATAGTTAAGGTGTAAAGAGAACTCCTTTATGTTTAGCCAGTGCTTTGAATCTCCTTCCACTTTCCTATATCATATTCTGATTAGTGTTTAAAGAGATGCTTGAAAATATATGCTGGAGAAGGTCTCAAGGTTATGCTGATGAGAAGGAGGGAAAAAGAGGTTTATTTTCACTGCCCTCTGCTCTTTCCTATACCTGCCTGCTACTCCCTCCTGCCTAGAAATCCACCCCTGTATTCTCACCAGATTCTGTTTCCCTCCTTCAAAACCTAATGGCCCTATCCTTTGTTACACATTTGATGAGAGAAATTTATGCTAATCCATTATTTCAATCTAACTCATAACATGTCATCAATCTGTTGCTTGCTACCCTCATTCCTAAAGATAAACTTGCAATATGATGGTGGGTGGTTAGGGTAGGAGTTTCAAGCTCATTGGCTATGGAATCTGCCCCAGGGATTGGTGGAGACACTTCTGGGTGTGTCTGGGGGGATATGGAGGTGTGGCCTTGGGTACTACTGTGTCCCTCTCTCCTTCCTCTCTGGCACTGTTTCCCTGCTCTGTTTCCCAGCTGCTATGCTCCACCATGATCTCTTCCTTGGAGCCTGCCATTTATGAGCTGCAACTGTGAGCAAATTAAACCTGCCCTCCTTTAAGCAGTGTGAATTGGGTTATGTGTCTCAAGGAAGAGAAAGCTAAGTAATACAGATGGCTTCACAAAGAAGCACCCCTTTGAGACCTTCTGTCCTTGGGAGAAGTTCATGTGAGAGGCTACCAATATGGTGATAATTTACCCATCTGTCAGCAAGACTGAATTTTATATAAGCAATGTGACTTTTTTCAAAGAAAAGTGCCACAAATGATCCTCCATTCTTTTCTACTTTGTTAAGAAAAGCTCAGAACTAAACCAAGGAGACAAACCAAAAAGCTAAACAAACTCCAGATATCTAAGCAAAGAATTTTGCATGTTTGTCACACACTTCAAGACTGTATGCTTCAGGAGGGCAGGGGTTTTGCAGCTGTTTGTTCCCAGTGCCTGGGGCAGGGTTAGGCACAAAGCATCCGGTGGTGCCAGGGGGCAGAAGAAGGGCAGCAGCTCACACAGGGTAACTAAGTCCTCTCCTGGTGTTACACAAGTAGACACACACACTATTTAACAAGGAGTTAATCCTTGATCCTTGGAGCACCGTTTAGCACTTTCTCTCTCCAAACATGCTGAATGATATATTGCCAAAGCCAAAGGAGCTTAAAAAAAAAAAAAACCACCCTTTTTCCAAAACCTGGTAATCTTCCCTTTTCTCAAAGGTAGGTTTAGCAGATATTCAAGTTCTCAGGAACTCACAGCTAGCCCTAATCATACAGAGATGTTTCCTGCTGAGATTATTAACCCAATCATGAAAACAGAACAAAGAAAAGTACCCTAGAAAAGCTTCTAACAGCTCACATATGTTCCTTGAATAGGATTCAAAGATTTAGTTTCTATAGTGAATATTTTTATCTTACCTAAAGGTCAACGTTTCCATGGACATTTTTTCAGCTTCCTAGAAATAGTTCTTTGACATCAATCAAAGATTTCTCTCCCTCCCACATCCTTTCCACCCTTTTTTATAAATATTTATTTCCTTTCTATGATGAGAAAAACAATGAATGGTTTTTCTAGATATTTCTAGATTAGTTTTCTTCGGGATATTTTTAGCCCTTAGAGCTATATGAATCATTCAGCAATTCATCCACTAAAATTATTTACTGTGGACCTGCTAGTTACCAAATCCTAATAAATAAGATCTTTTGTCCTCACTGAATTTTTAATTCTCATAATTAAAATAAGTAATTACAAGCAATTTTTTCAAACAGGGTCTTGCTATGTAGTGCAGGGTGATGTTGAACTCTCTATGTAGCTGAGGGTGGCTTTGAACTCATGGCAATCTTCCTGCCTCAGCCTCCCAAGTACTGGGATTACAGTCATGCACCACCATGCCTGGCTAGTAATATAAGCAATTGTAACAAGCAATGGAAACATACAATTTCAGTAGAGTTTGGTAAGTTTTATGATCATGATAAAGGACGACATGCACACAGATTTAAGAAATCAAACGGCATTCTGGAGGAGCTAACATCGAAGCTGCCGTGAGAGCATAACAGCGCTTGAAGTGGGGATCATGACAGTTTCTACATAAACTGTTATGAAGATAGACTTAATTAAATACACGAGAGAGCTCAGAGCAGTACCAAGCGCAGCAATTTTTTCAACAAATGTTAGTCCCAACTATTATTAACTGTCAATTATTAGTGCGTTTCAGTTGCTATTGAGCCCAGAGGATGAACAAAGCATGTGTCAGGGAGAAGACACACCCAAGACAGTGGGTGAACTGAAAAGAAAGTCAGTCCAGGTGGAATTTTAGGCATGTGGGCAAAGGAAGGAGTCAGCTACTAGGGGGAAGGCTGTGGAGATAAATAGGGGTGATAGAGTTAAGGGCCTCGGAAGTCACCTGCAGGACCTGAACCTCATCCTAAGAGCCATGGGGAACAGTGAGGGGTTTAAGCCAGAGAGTGTCAGATTTGCACTTAGGAAGATGATTTTCTCCGAAGTTCAGGGACTGGAGGTAGGAGATGGATTAGGAGATGGTTCAATAATCTGGGCATCGAGTGGAGGCAGATGGTGGGGGTGGCAGTGAGTGGAGGAAGGGACATGGACTAGAGTGACTGAGGACTGATTTCAGGCTTTGGAAAGCAGGTGGATGCCAGATCCATTCTCTGAGATGGGAGGTGCAGGGGAGAGGAGTGGATGGAAAGAGGGCTGGTGAGCAGTGACCGGGAGAGGTTTAGGTGGAGATGAATCCAAGGCACCTAGAACTGCCAGGCTCAGAGAGACAGCAAGTAGACCAGTGGTTACCAGCCCTGGGACAGGAGAGACAGGAAACTGGTTTTTAATGGGTACCGTGTCTGTGTGGGCCAATGAAAATGTTCTGGAGGTGGGCAGTGGCGATGGTCGCACAACATGAGTAGTGCAGTATTGCACACCTAAAAATGGCTGAAAAGGTAGATTCGATCTTACATGTGTTATTGCAACAATAATAACACATGTGGTCCTTTATTCCCAGAAAAATTGAGAAGAAAGGTCAATAAAGGAAAGTATAAATACAGGCTGGCTCCAGTCAGGTTTCTAGAAAAAGTAATGATCAGCATCTATTTTCTAAAAGACAAATGTTTTCAATAAGAGAACAACAAAATTACACTTAGATAATCCCTCATTATTTATCCCCTCTAGGAAAAAAATTTATAGTTATATATAAATTATAAATATACAGTGTTCAAATAAAAAGGCACACAAACCCCAAACTGCTTAAATGCAAAGAGAAAATGGAATGTGGTTTAATCATCTAAAATTCAAAGACTGAACTAAGTTTCTCCCCAAGGGAAGTTGATAATGAAAAAAAAATAGTTAAGGGCTCGTTTGAGATTATGGATAATATTTAGTGTAAAATTTATAGCCAATGACAGAATGATAAGCACTCTCTCATATTTTCCATTGCAACAAAGTGAATAGTAACTTGGACATTTTGCTAAAAGAACATTCTAGAACAGTTGCTTTGTTCAACAAAGTCAGAGGTGAGGTGACACAAAGGGAATTTAAACAAAAATATGAGCGGAGCCCTGGAACATTTAAAAAAATAACATCTTTGAGCTTCACTCTCATGTTTGTCTTTGTATTTTGGCGTGGAAATATCTGTAGGAGGTGATATTTTTCTTTCTTCCTTTTTTTGGTTTTATTTGTGCATATTTCCTCATGAGATGACATTTTTGATTCAAAATGGTTATTAAACACCATCTTTATAAGCTGTGTGTATAAGTGCTCTCATTGATTACCTTGAAGTAACCCTAGTAGAGAGATGAGAAGTATAAAATCGCATAACTAGAGGAACAAGAAAATGGGTTGGATACAGACCATTCACTGGAGAAAGGGAGGCACAAATTAATTTTCATGTTTGAAATGGGGAAGGGCAGGTTGTAGAGGTCCAAATACTTTTGAAAAGAAGTGAGATGCATTTTCTCTAACCAATTTCTCTGCTAACAAGAGAGTTAGAACATTTTTGGACTTTTTAACCACTTTATTGAGATATGATGGACATACAAAAATCTATACATATTTAATATACCCAACTTGATGCATTAACAATTTTTTCTATTAATTTCTTCACTAAAAATGCATCATGATCTCAAATGGCCATCAAAGACACTTTATTGTTATTCATCTAGATAATTCAACTAAAACAAAAAATTCACAAGACTAAAAGTTTGAATAGAGAATTTTATATTCCCCAAGCCTTTAAAACACCAACATCACAAAGAGAAATCCCTTTTCATTAAATTATTCAATAATTAGAAAGTGCAAGCTCCTTAGAGCATGCAATATTTGAAAACTAGTAAACATTTAATAATTTTTAGTTAAATAAATCCATCAGCGAGTAATTTGGGGACACCTTTGGTGTGCCCACTTCTATAGAGAAATGTGAAATGTGGTTTCTGCCCTTGAGTTCATGTATTTCTGAAATGGAAGGACTCTCTCCTGTTAATCTATAATATATTTATAATGGTTTTTTAGATCAAGAGATTAAGAAGACTGCAGGACCTTAGGTTACACAGAGTGGGGAGATTTATGTTCTGATAATGAACCGGAAGATTATAAATAGCATTGGTGTCACTGTTACAGCCTAATCGGCCTCTTCTGGGGTCATTACAATGAGTTCAGCTTCATGGGCTCCTTCCCCTTCATTTCTTGCATTTATTATGGGCATAAGGTGATTTTCATCTCCTGCGCACCAGCAACTGTGGAATATCAGGTTTTTCCTGGTCACCGTCCCAACAAGGGGGACCAAGAAGAAAGAAAATTGAACTTGTTTTCTTTTCCAGCTCTGGTCCAGGCTGTTATCAGTACTCAGCAGGGATGGGCTGGACCTTCTTCCCTAAGCAATAATAAAAACCAGGCCTCCTGCAACCTGCCTGAAACTTGAAAGGAACTCAAAGCAAAGCATGAGAAGCCAGCGAGGATAAGGAGTTAGTTTGGGAGGTTAGCCGATACACTCCATTGGCCACATTGGCTGATTTTGTTTTCTTCCTTATTTTAACTCAGAATCGTTGGCCAACTCATCTTGGCAATCATAGCAAAGGAAGATATCAACACTGTGTGTGTCCATCCCTCTTCCTGGCTTGTTGCTATTAGGATTTGACAAAGTAAGAGACCCTTTTGCTTGCTTTTAGGAAAAAAGAAACTCAGCATAGATGAATTTACTTGAACTCAAAAATATTCTAGAAGTCAAAAATACACTTAGCTCTTCATAGAATTCGCTGACATTACCTTGTTATTGCGTTCAATGCCAACATAATCTGCCTCTTCTGGGATCATCACAAAGAGTTCAGCTTCATAGGCTCCTTCCCCTTCATTTCTTGCATTTATTATGAGTGTAAGGTGATTTTCATCTCCAATGATAATCTGATCCTTATCTCTGAAAATGGAGTTTATCAAACAGTTAGATATTCTACTTTTCTGATAATTTAGATATTTTATTTAACACTTTAAGAAGAACTTTTAAGAGGTGAAGCCATGAAAGACTCTGTCCTCACCAATGGATTCATGTCACTTTGTGGAAGTCAGATAGTTATTGAGAGAATGGCTTTGTTAGAAAGTTCAGTCTGTTTTCCTCTCTATGTATCACAAATATCATTGTGCCATGTTGTGATCCTTGTACACAGGCCCTTGTCACAGCCTGGTGATATATTCTTAGGCTGCCCAGTTTCTACAACTGTAAGCCCAAGAAATTTCCCTTATTCCATTTTTTATATATTTATAAGAATTTAGGAAGAAAAGAAAGAAAATGGGGAATGTGAGATGAGAGAGAGAGAGAGAGGGAGAGGGAAAGAGAGAATCCTTCCAGTGTGGTCAATTTTTAGCTACCAGCCTACTTAACCACCTGTTAGCAAAATTCTTGCAAATTTAACATTTGGCTTCCAAGCCAGAACGAGGTAGCTGCAGCACACTGTACTTTACAAAACACATACATTAGGAAGAAACAAGCTATGGGGAGAAAGGAGGAGGGGAGGTTTTAGAGCGAGAGGGGAACGACTACAAAGGGGACGATAAAGAAGGGAGGCACAGGCTGATGGAACAGGATCTGAAATGGCCGATAGAGGGTTTTGAAGTATTCTGAGGAAACTTAATCGACTTTGAACTCCAAATCAAACCAACATTGGGGAATGCCTCTTCCACTTTTGACCCCTACTCAAAGCTATTGCTTTTGACGCTTGTGAAATTATAGAGCTTGGGGAAATTCCCCTGGAGAAATCACCAAGAAGATTCCAAACATGGCAGTGAGATAGCTCCTGGGAGAGAAGGGAGGACAAATCTGCCTTTTCTACCCGAGGATGCTGTGCATCCTTGTTCCATTTCTTTCTCTAACATAATGCCGCGCCATCACCAGAGCTGGGGCTGGGCTACCATGAAGCCTTTTGATTCTTATGTGACTTTGTGACACATTCCACTTTACTCCCTAGTGTGCCTTTTAAGTTTTTTTTTCCAGTAAATTAAAATTAATTTTGTTTTGACAACCCCAAGGATGCCTTTGAGTCATGGGGTGCTGTGAAACTCGTTTGGTTAAGGTGTGGACAGATCCAGCCGGTATGAATCCTTTGCTCACTGCACTGAGGCAAGTAAATATAACTTGAGCCACCCTATACATGTATTCACTTTGAGCAGAAACACTTTTTTCTCACTTTTGCTGAAAGATGAAAGGGCCCAGTCCGAATCTCAGGGTGTGTCACTTCACACCAATGACAAACAACTGACCTACCCACAGGCAAGCCGAAGTGTGGCTGGGCTCAAGAATTTCACGCAATGTTTTTCTTCCGCTTCTTATTCTGTCCTTGTTGTTGGGAGTGTGTACTTTCGTCAGAAAAGCTTTAAACAAACACCTGTATTCCATTAGCTGTAATGTACATGTTTATTGATTGAGACTTACGGTCTAGCTGACAGCTTCAAGTCGGGAATGCATAGATTATCTTCTCCGCAGTCCACCAGGATGTGAGCCTGTGAGGTACAAAATTACACATCAGGGATAAACTAGGAAAACCCAAACCTTGTACTTTCTCTTGAAAATCCCACACAACTGCACAAAGGAAACTAAAGCTTTAGTTTCACCACATCTGAGTCTACCCAGCTCCACCCCACAAGGTGACCTCTCACAATTGCCTGGTTGACTTATAGCCCAGTTCCTATTCCTTCCAGGATGTCTATGAAGAATGAAACCCTGGCACTGTTTGCCGGGGTTCAGGCTGCATTGTTTTCCTTACAGCCACATTTTGAACCAACTAAATATTGGTTGCGCAAGAAGAAGGGCTTCTGAAAACACAAGGATGCACTGTTTCAGGAAATGTGTTCAGAAAAACTCCCAAATGTTACATTCTGTGAACGGGGATAAAAGCAGAAGGGGCTGGCTTCAGTCTTCAGGTCACAGCCTGACTAGGAAAGCACCCTCAGAGCGCATCAAGATCATACCTGTTCAGTAAGCACATTGTCCCTGTAGTAGTTTAATATTGGTTTCACTTCCAGGCCTTTTTTAAAGGTGGAGTCGTCCAAACTGTAATTCAAACTAATGTTGATTGGAGATAATTTATCTCGGAATTCAGTTTCATCCTAGGGAAAATGATCACAATCTCAAATAGCTGCAAGATGTTAGTCTGTGAAAGCCAGGTAAAACTTAACTTTAGTCAATGAAAGTAAGTGATGAAGGCATTATTATTCCAACGGACTTATTAGACCCGTGCTGATTTATTCAGTACATAGCAGCCAGCATAATTAATATATGTTCAGGGGTGGGATGTTTTACAGCCATAGCCTTACTGAAATAAGCTTCTAAGGTAAACTTCCTGTTCTCCAGGCTCTCACCAACTTATGTAGAATTAGTCAACTCTCCAAATACAAGATTACACTGATGTACCTTAAATGTCATGGAAACCATCATGGATTAGGATTTTTGTTTTCATGAGGTTGGTACAATTTTTGAGTTCTCTTGGGCTCAGAGGAAGAAAACATCTTGGTTCTCTTCCTCCTCTATTATTTCATTAAGCTCTTGCTTGCATGGACTTCGAAACACCTTCAGCACATGTGAAAAAAGAAAACAGAACTTTTCCAAGGGAGGGATGGGCACCAAGGAGCAGGCACTAAGCACACAGCAGGCAACGGCACCATTCAGCTGTGCTAACCCGGCCATGATTGGATGTAAAGGTCGTGTGTGTGTGACCTTTCATTCTCAAGTGTGGTCTTCACCAGTCCCTTACAAGAGCAGGAGAAACGATAATGAATGGTCACAGCCTAACAATTGGCAAAGACGGGATGCTGTATTATAAATATTTTTACTTTTAAAATTTCCTGGTAGGTTTTAGAGTTGTAAAAACACATTACTTTTTAAAGTGTACATTTGGAAACTGCATTTAATCAAAGCTTTGGATGCCTGAATGTGTTCCTAAGTTGGATCTGAAATGCACACTGATAACATCTAACAAGACATACTGACACAGGATAAAAAAATCAAATAAATCAGATTGAACTTTTATGTTTTTTGTGTTGGGAGGCAGTTAAAAATGAAAACCACCTGAGTTGAGTGCTGTTATCAAGATTTTATTTAAACCAAAAAGAAGCCTTAGAAATTAATAGCATCAGATCATTAGGTTAGTTGAAGCCAGGGTCAAGAAGAGAGCAGTGGGTCATAAAGTTGCCTCCTATGAAAATGAAAATAGACAGATAGGAGTCTCTGGAGACAAAGGTAATGGTTCATTGGAGGAAAATGGTTGGAATGCAGATTTGCATGTGAGAGGCCAGACAAGTGATTTCTGGACCACTTACTCGAAGGTAAATGATGAAATCCTGGCACTGGAGGGCTTTCTGCCTCTTAATCAGCAGAGGGAAGACGAGATGGGGCTGACGGTTACGGAGGAAGAGTGTCCGTTTGATGGCTCCTTTTCGTTTCAGGAAATCTAACTGCAACTCAGCCACCAGTGCTAAAGGACAGAAATGAAGTAAATATAATCGGGGGAGGTAACAGCGAACACAGCACCCTATCAGGGACATAAACTTCTATTGCAAGGTGCTTATTCAGGACACATAAATTTTCATAGTTGAGATCACACGTGACACAATGAGCCAAAAAAATTTACAATATACTCTCTAAGCTAAAAGCTTTAAATCCACATTGTCATTTTCTCCATAGTTATTGTTTATAGATAATAATTCCATCAATTATTAACATCATACTTAGGTACAAGGTTCTACATATGCACTAGACATTCAGGTGTTAAGAAGGGCCTCTCTAGTTTTCTAGGGTCTGTGCAGAGAAATGCTTATTGTTCAATTTTCTTATGATAGTAGAAGAGAGTAAAAATGAAAACAAGCTCACCTATTGTATTTGGAATGCTCTGGCCTGCTACAGATGCACATACTCTTAAAGAAAAGCTATGAGAAAATAATAGTTAATAATTTATTGGTGAGTAAATTTTAAATCTGAAGTAGAAATGCTCCTTTCCTTCATCCCAGATTAAATGCATGCATCATTTCCCCCATCCTTCTAGTTTTATACACACACACACACACACACACACACACACATACACGCACGCGCTGTATATCTCCCAACAGTCAACCACAGCACTAACACGATTAAGACAGGTAACACTGCAAGGGCCGGGGATTTAGCTCAGTGGTTCCGCCACCTGCCTTGCAAGCACAAGGTCAGGAGTTCAATCCCCAGTACCAAAAAAAAAAAAAAAAAGACAGATAACACTGCATAGAAGGCGATACTTGAAAATAGTACTATAGGTTAATGGATTTGATCAATTAACATCCTGCTGTGTTTATTCTGTGAATACATACGAGTATCTTCCGTGTGCCAAAGAATGAAGAATTATCAATACTGAGAGGGACAGTAGCGGAAATGTCTGGAGAGTAGCATGAATGTGGCCCCATTTGCAGCACCTAAAGATAGTGTGGCTGCAGCATCCAGTAAGATGGGGAAGTTGAAGGAGGCATGGCTGGCTTCCTGATTGGAACAGGGCTTTGAACTACACTAAAGAATGTGAATTGGATCCTAAGAAGCATCTTCATAATGCTTGAGGCACTCACTTGAAGGAGAATGGAACTTGGTGGTACTTTGCTGTGGGGAGGTAAGATTGGAGGCAGAGAGACAAAAACAGGGAGGAGAGAAAGAAAGTAAACAAGGAACTTAAAGCAGCTGTCTCAAGCTCGGTAGGCACACTGACACAGGTATAAAGACAATAGAGGATAGATCTGCATGAAAGACATTTCATAGTTTTGCCTTGAGCATGCCCTAATCTCAGTCCAAAGAAATGTCTACATGGCTTGTGGGATGACCAGCACATGGCCCTGATATGTGGCTGTGGAGTGAATGAGAAATGCCCGGTGATCTCTGCCCGACTTTGCTGAATGTTCTTACCTCCCCCCTGAAAAATTCTAGCAGCCAGCATTAGAGATGGGGTCTTTTCACATTTCTAAGAAAGTAGAAATATAAAAACTACATATTATAATTTAATGACAAAATTTTTACTAATAAAATACTATAGCATGATCTGAATATTTCTATGGAATTCAAAAGGAGTAAATAATCCCTAATCATACTTTAATTATATGTCAGCTTCCTGTGTCAAGCATAATGAAAATGTGTCACATCTGGGATTCATCTATCTCAGTGACCTCAGTCAACGTCTCCCTTCAGGGTAAATAATTCGCCACATACCATTAAGCCAAAAGTTTCCTGACATATCTGTGCTATTACAAGTGTTTACACCACTTCCCCAGAGAAATCACAAATTCCAACCCACTTCTACTTCAATTAGAATTATTCATGGAAGATGAATACTTAATCATGTCTTTAAATTCTGTAGCATGTTCGGCTTCCAAAATTTGGAATTTTTTCTGGGCCTGACTTTTTTGGAAGTACTTGGCTATGTATTAAAATCATCTGTTGAGTTTTTTCTATTTATCATTTTTCTATTTATCCTCACTCTGCATAGACAAAACTCATTAGCTTTTATAATATAAATTCATATTTGTAAATCAATTATCAACGTATAAATTAAAATAATGTTAGATACAGTAATTTAACATGAACAAATCAAAAGTATTATACTTTTTGAAAAATGAATAAATTACAGCTCGGAAAGTGAACACTATTTCCTCTTTTGTGAGAAGGTCTTTGATAAATGATGTTAGCTCAAGGTTACTCTTGATTTATGGATTCTGTGTCAGGATACATCTATATTTCTTTCTTAATTTTCCTTTTCTATTACTTCAATATCATTAGCAACTGGATGCCTTTAACGTTTTTCATCCAAGTTTAATATAACCACTAAAACTTACTGAATTATTGGTAATGGCTCTGACCTAAAACTACCGGCTTTACAATGTCTTTAGCAGAAAAGACTTTGTCAAGTCACAGATTTTCAAGAACTGCGTTTTGATCTAAAAAGAAAACCTCAAAATTGTGGACTGACAGGGTCATTCTAAAAATAGAAAAATGTACTTCCACACACATATATACACTATATGCTTTTATAGATCACAGAATTAGGTCCTCTTGTGGGTCAATATTTAATTAGTACCTGTAGGGTGTCAGCAAAAGCCACGACCTATTATTGAATTAGCATTAAAATTTCAAACTGGATTTTATGGTCATATTCAGCATGCTCTATTATTTTGAATGGGTCTGATTGGAACAGAAAAAAATATGGAAATAACCCAGGTCCTTCAAGTCATAAATCTAAACCAAACTGTGGGCAGTGCCTCTGATCTGCTGAGAAGACAGCACAACGCAACCCAGGGGCCTCTCAAGTCAACTCCTACTCTCAGCTGCAGCACTGGCCCCGCAAAGTGACTGCTCATAGTCGTGTATGGTGGGGAAGGAATGAGATACGCATGAAACATGATTTAAAAGTACAAAGCAATTCACTCTTCACCCTCAACAATTCAGTCCTATGTCAACGATGGCAAGTATCAGATTTCACTTAACGCTACTCATATCTGAAACGCTTTTTTTTCAGGTTGGAGATGCAGATAGTTACGTTTACAAAATGAACATGCTTACTATTTTTATAGGTATATTAATACTCATCAAGCTAGATTTTATTTTCTTTTTCTAACTGAGTAGTGCCAATAGCAGACATTTTATAGAGCTACATAGCCAACTGAAAGACAGAAATCTACTGTGATGGTAGTGAGACACTATCTGTAAACTACAGCTTACATAATAGTGTTCAGATTTATAGTATAAGGTTATATCAAATACAGACAAGAATTACACCAGAGACAATCAACAGAGGGCTCTCAATCACTTTGGAAAAACTAAGCTAAATTCCTAGGAAAATAATAATAACAATAATCAGAGCTATGCATTCTCCACTGAACCAACTATTAACTTTCCTGGTTTAAAAGTAATTTTTTTTACAAAACCAAATGGGTCCCATAATGTTGTTAATGTTACTTACATCTCATTAAAAAAGTCCATAAAACTAAAGCTCCTTAGGAAAAACTAGTTCAAGTAAAGCACATTGCACAGGAGAGTGTGCTACCTGTGACTAAAAGAAGTCCACAGAGCTAGAAACCCTCAAAAAGAGGACTTCTTGGGGGGATATGGAAGTTTTAACCTATGCTCAAGTAGCATTCACAGTTCATTTAAATGTTCATTTAATCGCGCCAGGGTAAGGGAAAATGCTGGCTATTTTGCATATTTTCTCAGATCAGGTTTTCATTATACTATTTTATGGTTTTAAACCACTTTAAAATGTGCTGGGGCATTTCCCAACTCCTTTAAGAAGCAGTTACAGGCCAGGACACGCCTCCCTATGCAGGAGCTCCAAGCAGCAGGATGTTTTTCAAAAGAATTCTTAAGGGTCCTAGGAACTTCCCACCCTCCACTCAAAAGTTTTGACTCCTGCATGAACTCCTGTCAGAAGGCCATCAAAAACATGCTCCAGTGGGCTAGAAATAACTTTCTGGGTCAGGACTGGCTTGTTCTACATTCTGATAGCCTCAGGAACTGGACATGCTGCCCGAGTTAGACCACATTTCCTGCAAAATGAGGGCAAATCTCCAACATCTCAAAACTTTTTTTTTTCTTTATGATACTGGGGATTGAACCCTGGGACTTCACACTGAGCTACAACCCCAGGCCTTTTAATCTTTTATTTTCAGGCAGCATCTTGCTAAGTCACCAAGTTGCTCAGGCTACTTTCAAACTACAATCCTCCTGTCTCAGCCTCCCAGTGTATTTTCCAGAGGATGTGGCCTGATGACACGATCCAATTGGATGACTTCTGACCCTTGAGGACTACATATGTATTTAAAAACAAGGTGGCATCTTCTTGGTCTGTGTTTTAGTCAAGCTCCACTCTGTCCTTTGAGGTAACTCACATGAGTCAGCGGAAATTCTTGAGTCTCATCTTCCTAGGGTCAGGCAAAAGAACTGTGATTCTGCCACTATTCCTCATGATGGCTTCAGGACCACAAAAATCCAGGTCAGGGCACAAAAATCTCCATTTTCATAATGTTTACCTTCTGTACGTGGTCAGTTACAAAACTGACATATGTTTTCCACATAGGAAACAGTAATTTTACCCAAGCGCAGCCACTCAAACAGGGTGACATAAACTACATCTGAAAAGTGGGATCCATAAGCACACGCCAATGCCAGAGTCAAGGTATTGTGTTTTATTTTTAGTTTGCTTAACATTTATTTGAGAATGTCAAGAAACACAGAGATTGCCGAGATGTGTTGCAGTGGGAATTGCCCCAAATGTTTTTGTGCTTCTCATCTCATTTAGAGCCCATAGAGCAGAGAACTCGCTTTGCATGGTAGATACAGACCCAAAGGTCAGCATCACATCACAGGTCCCTTTGAAGGACTGCTTCCTTGCTACTCAGACTTGGTCCACAGACCTATAGCAACAAAGTGCTCTGGAAACTTTTTCTAGATATGCAAAGCATCAGGTCCTACACTATACTGCACCAAAATCTGCATTTATTCTACAAGATACCCAGGTGATCTGAATCCACAGTAATATTCTTGAGCTCATGCACGAGGTGTTCATAAGCCAGAGTTGGTGTTGCTTGTCTTGTAAGAATAGTGTCTGAGAAACACCCGGTTCACTCACCATGCCACAGGTGTCACCAATTCTGGGATCTGGCAAGTTTTGTTTTCAAGATTGATAATCACTGGGTGCAAGAGAAGCTGGGTGTCCACAGTCACAACCGGCCTTGCTCTGCAGGGAAAAAAACCCACAACGTGTGTATGGCCCCCACTGGCTACAGGCAGAAGCTCCCTTCACAGAAGAGGCCCCTGCAATGTTGCCAGTTTGTGCCAAGAATTCAGCTTACTTCATGGACAGGAGGGCATCACTCTACTAATTACCTCTCAACACTTCTGGTAGCACATGAATCTAACCTAAGGATACACGGGTGGCCTGGGCACAGTTGCATCCACAAACCTGCTGTCTTTAGGGAGTAGACTTGTGATATTGTAACACTCTTGCAGTGACAGTGCTCTGTGATTTGCTAAAGTATCATAACCATATTTGGAAAGAATACATCCTCTTCCATCCACTCATGGTAAATACTCACATTTTACAAATTTTCTTGGCTGATGGATAATGTCCTACTTCGAACGATAACTTTGTAGCTGAGTTCTGCAGATGTAGCTGAACACATGAGGGTGGGTTTCCCGAATAATTCTGTACTTCACCCTGAGCAATAGTTCTCAACCTGGCTGCACAGCATAACCACCCACGGAGCTTTTAAACATACACTGTACTCAGCCCCACACTTATGGACCAACTGAACTAGAACTTCTGGGGCCCAGGCTGGTTATTGCAATTTCAAACACTCTTTCCAGATGACTGTAGCAGGTAACCACATTTGAGGAGAGGAACCAGCATAGAGTAAAAGCCATTCTAGCCACCCAGGCAAGGATAGTAAGATAATTCACACAGGAAGGGAGTGAAGTAATTTTTAAAGCTTGATTACAGGATATGATTACCGGGAGCCAGAGCTGCCGGATTTCTACACGCATTGAGCCATGTTGGATGCATTTTCTTCCGATGGACAGAGAGATTGCGTCTTGGGGCAGAATGTTTAGGGCACTACTTCAAACAACTTCATGGTTACCACATGGAGTCCACTGGGATTTTTCCTAAGTTCCTCTATGCTATTTATCTGTACTTTATTTTATATTATTTTTAATATTGTGTTCTAATTGTTGAAAAATCAGATGATAAAATAGAATTACGCAGGCATGAGGTTTATTATGGCAGACCCGTGGCAGAAGAAAGAGAGGTTAATGGAAGAGAAAGGGGGTTCTGATCCTTGGAAAGGTAAAGGGAAGAAGATAAGGTTGAATAGGACATTCTGTTGGGGTTGATCAATCCATGAATGAGGCGCCCATGAGCCAGCGTTTTTTGTGAGATGAGTTGCTTATCTTACAGGAATAGCCTTGCATGTATTCCTTGTTGTCCTCCTACTTGAGTGGGAGCAGCTCATGGAAAACAGAGCATCTGTACCAAGGCTGGGGCAGATTCTCACTGTCGCCGTGGGGGTGGAGCTGGGACACAGTCAGCTTCTCCCCAGCAGCTCAGAGTGTTCCACCTTCACGGCCACCACCAGCCGTACCCAGAGGCTATAAAGTTTCAACCATCTGATTTTCTAGAACCTGGGGCGGAGGGTGACTGGTGTAAATCTGCCCTCACTGAGTTTGTTGTGGGACCGATGAAGAAGTAAATCTTACCTACTTTGAAAACTGAACCTTAGACACTCTCTGAGAGCTGGATGGATTAGCACCACATGCCCAGTCCACTTATTTGTCTTTTGTTTAGAAATCCTGATTTAGTTCCTTGAATTCTTGCTAAACACTATTTAAAGAAGATCTAAAGTTTCTAAGCATCAATTATCTAACCAGTTACTAGTCTGTGTATTTTGCATGCAGATTTTCACTGAACCCTTTCAATAAAAGTAACTTTATAAAGGAAGAATTGTTACTCCCATTTTACAAATGAAAGTGCTAAGGCTTACAGAGTTACAGAAATTTGTCCAAGACTACAAATCAGTGAGTGTACAGAATGGCCAGGATTTGAAGCTATCCTTTTGCATTTGAATTGCCACTCAATACCTGGTTTTGGACAAAACCAATTCTTGGTATGGCCTGTTCCATCACTTAGCCTCCAGGCTTGATGGCAGAAACCAGGGAAAATGGGAACAATATCCCCTTCTGCAACCCTTCTCTGAAGGTGCACATTTCATTGATTTTGAAAGCACAGAGAATTAAAATTATCTAACATTTAAAAAGACAGTCATTTTAGGATTGGCTTTGTTTAATCTCTTATTTAATGTTACATTGTTAGAGGCTGGAAATCTGATCATAAAGTATGAGAATAAAAATATTGAAGGTTGAAAATTGAGGGCAAATAGACCTCCAGACTTTAAAATAAGTATATAAACATTCTTCAGAATAAATAACTGGAATAAAGTATTTAAGACCAAACAGACAACAAAAAGGAAATGCACTTAAAACGATTCACAGAACATCTGCACACACCAATCACATACCTGTAAACAGCCACTTTTCCTGTTCCAAATGCACCCACAAGTAGATCTAAAAAAGACAAAAACATGAAGTGCATGCATAGATTTTATAGACACTGTCTACAGATTGAGCATCACTAATCCAAAATCCAAATGCTCTGAAACCTGAACCATTCTGGGCACTGAAATGCCACCCTAAGTGAAAACTTTCACACCATGAAGCTTTGCCTCAATCACAAAGTTAAACAAATATTGTTTAAAATGATCTTCAGGCTCCGTGTGCAAGGTGTGTATAGAAAACACAAGTGAATTTTATGTTTAGACTTATGTCCCATCCCCAGATATTTCCTTATGTGTATATAAATATTTCAAAAGTCTGAAATTCTAAACATTTTGGTCTCAATCATTTTTTTTCCATTACCAGGGATCGAACTCAGGACCTTAAACTTGCCAAGCAGGCACAGTGCTGCTGAGCTACATCCCCCACCCTCAATAATTTTTGATAAGGGATACCCAACTTTTACTAAGTTCAGGATCATGAGTAGCACATAGAGCATCCCAAAATGCTGATTGCAGTGTGAGAGCCATAAATTGAGCAAACAGCACCTTTCTGAAGACATTTTGGAGAGGATGTAAGAGTATAGCCAATGTAACATGACACATGAATCAGATCTCAAAACTTTCTGCTTTTATGAAGGCGAGCTTCCTAAAAATGCTTAAGAAACTCATCATAAAATCATTTCCTTCATCCTCGAGACTCAAGGTACACACCCAAGGAAAGGAAAAAGAAAACTGCAAGTGCTCAGCACATATTATGTATCAGCGTCCTTGCAAATCTTGTCTCATTTCTCCCTTGCCAACAACAACTGTATGAGGTGAGATTATTTACACCTAAAGAGGAACATTCTGATTGTCATTTTGAAACAACCACTTGCTCTTCACAGTGTGGATGGTGAGTATACCCGAGGTGAGTGTACACAATTATCTCCCTGACTGACAAGTATTTAGGCAAAATTATCTGTTTTTCTTAATTGAATCTACAACATTTTTTCTTGGTGGAGGCAATCAAACAAACAGAAATGACAATGGCTAAATTGCACAGTAAAATCTAAGAGAATCAGATGTGGTAGAACAGGGGCCATAGAAGAAAACAATTGAAACTATTATTGCTTAATTCTAGTAAAACAGAAGTGAAAAATGGAAACTAAATTGTAAAAAAATAAAAAAAGACCTCATCAACAACAAAAAGGGGGAAAGACATTTTAGCCTGGTGCTCCATATCTAAACTTATAACGGAATTAAATTGACATGAGAGAGTTTGTGCTGAAAAATGATTTACAAGGTGTGATCAAAAATATGATTAATGTGACTGCTGAGTTTCATCCAATGGAAAGGCAGGCTCATAAAGACACTGGAGTGTGTCTTCCTTCACCTTATTCATCCAATCTGGCACCTTGTAATTTCTGGCTCTTCTACAAAATCAAAATGACCATGAGAGGTAAACATTTTGAATCAATTCAGGACATTGTGGCAATTAATTCATTAAGGCAGGTGTTGCAAACTGCAAAAACAACATGGGATTTTATCCCGAGAATGGGGCAGGATAGAGTTGGAGAAGTGCATCAACTGCCATATAGGCAGAGAGAATTTAATCAGGCACCATTTTGGGAATGGGCTGATCTGTGGTACTAAGCCACCAAAAAACTACAATGCAACTTCTCTCCAAGGATTGTTACTGTTACCCAACTACAGTGACTGGGTGAGGACGGCTATGGGAGATAGCCATAAGATGGTGAGGACTAGAGTTAGATACCCTGAGAAGTTCAAGCACAGGCAGGGAAGGTTACAAGGCCCTGCACAACATGTTGGGAGGCCAGGTCTAGCTGTTCTGGCTTTCAGAGATGGCTGGGTCTGAAGGTGTTGCCACTGAGTCCAGTAGTCTGTTTGAGCCCCTACCCTGCTGCCCATATCCAGTGGAGACAGGTGGTCTGATTGCTTTTCTGCTCACCAACATGAGTGGGGACACATGTCAGCTAGGAAGATGGCCAAAGTCTGGGGTTTATGGACAGAGGGGCCTCTGGAGCAAGGAGGGTACCTCCCAACTCCACAGGCCATAAAGCTTGGCAGAGAAGACTATGACTTGCTGACTTCTAAAGTAAAACACTCAGTTGGAAATACAAAAAAAAATTTGGACCCATTTTTCTCCTTTATTTATCTCTATATAGTTAACTATGTGCTACTACCGTTGAAGAATCTTCTATTGTAAGTGGAGGTAAAGTTGTTCCATTTAGTAGATATTTACTCTAGGTCAATATTTAGTGTGTCTTAGTGTTTATACTATAATCATAGATCTCCTTTTTATGGTTAAAAGTGGTATATTATTGGTTCTTATGGTATGTAAGCATCCAGTTTGTCTTTGATACTATTATTGTTGTTGATTTAATTACCATAGCCAAAATTACACAATTGTTGCTATCAATAGGTTTTCTCTATATGCCAATATCTGGATTGTTTTAGTGTTATTAATAGTATTGTGATCCATTCTAGGTGAAATGGGTACTGAACCAAATATACTGAAACCTCCTCTCCCAAATAAATGGAGGTGGAGGGGGGATGGATTCTGGGACAAAGGCAAATGGCTATGCCAAGTTAGCCATACCAAGAGTGCATCATTAAAAATAAGACGTTACCTAAAGAGGTCTCCATACTAGCAAAAAAGTCTTCCGCTATAATCAACACATAAGCATCAATACAAATAAGCAAACAAATAGAAACACGAGAAAGTAAGGCAACAAAATGCCTTCAAAAACTCCCACCTTCCCCATACTGATCTAGGGGCCATTAAGGGGGTTAGAAATCAAAAGACACATACCCAAATTATTTTAAAGTATAGCAGAGGAGATTTTAAAAAACCAATAAGATGCTCATGAGTTCAAAGAAGATATAATTAAAGAGATAATGATCCTAATTAAATGATCAGCAAGCCAACAGGAGACACTAGTTAAAAGCTAGATGAGCTAAACAAACTAATGCAAAACAGGAATGACCAGCACAGAAAAGAATTAAGAGTCCATTAAAACATATCAAACAGAAATGTAGGAGATTAAAAATTCTCCTGGAAGTATGGGCAGCAGAAGTGACCACTGTGAGGACAGAGTGTCAGAACTACCTGGAAGACAGGCCTGTTGTCAGTGACCAGTTATTGAAAGATACCTTAAAAAACAATAAGACACTGTGAAAAATGGATCTAACAGCTGCTAGATCACACAAAGAATCTAAGATTAATTGGAATTAGTGGAAAATCAGAAGACAGCACAAATGACATAAAATACCTGTTTACCGAAGTGATATCAGAAAACTTTCCTATTATGGGAAATTAACACACAGATAATTGTGAACCCCCTCTGGAGCCCTAATAGCCAAGATAGGAAAATAACCTCTCCATGATATATCATAATCAAAATCCCAGAACTCCAACACAAGAACAGAGTCTTAAAAGTTAAAGAAAAGCAAAAATTAGTTTTAAAGGAAAATTCATCAGAATTACAGCAGATTTCTCAATACAAATCTTAAGGGCTAGGAGAATTTGGAGTGAAGTGTTTCAAGCCCTAAAAAAACCACAACCTTCCAACCCAGACTAATGCATCCTGCAAAACGATCTTTCCAAATTGATGGAGAAATAAAATATTGCCATGACGAAGAGCACTTTAAGACCACCAAACTAGCCCTCCAAAAACTTCTTAAGGATGTCCTAAAAAGAGACAATGAAACTAACAATGCCAGAATGTCCAATAGAATGAATGCATCAGGAAGGGTGAGCAATTTAGTAGAAGAGAAAGAAAAGGAATCAGCAACAGGAAAGTAATGCAAGAGTCACTACCTTTCAGTAGTAAATCTCACTGTGAAGGATCTCAACTAGCTAATAGACAGATTGGCAGAATGGGTCAAGAAACAAAATCTGATGGTATGCTGTATTACAGAAACAGATTTAACCCCAAAAGAAATTTAGGCATCAAAAATTAAAGGATTGAAAGAATATTCCATGCAGTAAGAATCCAAAAAGAAACAAGAGTAGCTATCCAATTTTCAAACAAAGTGGACTTTAAGCCAAACCTGATCAGAAGAGGCAAAGAATGGTAAAACTTATTGGTTAAGGGAACAATTCAATGGGAAGAAATAATAATTATAAACATATATACACTGAACAATGAAGCACATTCAGATTCATAAATGCCCATGGACATAAAATCAGACAAACTTTAATGCAATTATACTGGGAGATCTCAGTACCCCACTACCACCAGTAGGTCAACTAAACAAAAATTCAACAGAGAATTATCAGAGTTGAACCAAGCCTTCAAACTAATAGACTTAAATAGGTATCTAGAGTATTCCACCCAACAACAATATAATACACATTCTTCTCAGCAGAACATGGCACTTTCTCCAAAATAGACTACATACTCACCAATATAGTGTGTTTAAGTAAATGTAAAATAATTCAAATCAAAGCATACATATTATCAGATTGTAGTCCAATGAAACTAGAATTCAACAGCAAAAGAAACCACAGAAATTATGCAAATGTGTGGAAATTAAACAATACACTCTGGAATAATGAATGTGTCACAGGAAAAATCAAAGAAATAAGACAGTTCCTAGAAGTAAACAATAAAGCCAGTACAACATACCAGAACTTATGGGACACAATGAAAGCAGTCCTAAGAGGGAAGCTGATAGCTATGTATACCCAGGTAATAAACAATAGAGTGAGCCCAAATAAATAACCTAATGATATACTTCTATGTCCTAGAAAAATAAGAACAATTCAAGTCTAAAGTTAGTATAAGGAAGAAAATTATAAAGTTTAGAGCAGAAATCAGTCAAATAAATTGAGACTAAAATACATAAAAAGTCAATGAATGGAAGAGCTGGTTCTTCAAAAGAATAAACAAAATAGACATATCCTTAGTGAATCTTAAGAAAAAGGGAAAGAAAAGACACAAATCAATCCAATTAGAAATAAAAAACTTGAAATTACAATGGATACCACCAAAATTCATATGATTA